TCGAGAGAAGAATAGAGATAATCTAATTCATATGTAAGATCAGACCTAAAAACTTTACAATAAAATAGTTAATCTTTTTTAAGAAAAAAGTGAAAACTATAACATGGCTATCATTGACAAACCATACATACTAAAAATTGTGAAATCTATGATAAACGGACCCTAAATGAAAACTTTGAATCTACTATAAGACAAATTTTGCTACAGAACACTGAAATTATGTGGTTTTAGCCTTAAGACAACATAAAAAGTAACTTTTTAGAGAAAACACTTCATAATCGTTGTATTTTGCCAGTCTTTACAATAACATTTACAATAAAATGATTTATCTTTTTTAAAGAAAAAAGTGAAAACTATAACACGTCTATCATTGCCAAACCATGCAGTCTAAGAATTGTGAAATCTATGATAAACATACCCAGTTGAAAACTTTGATTGTACTATAAGGCAAATTTTACTACATGACACTAAAATTATGTGGTTTTAGCTCTAAGATAACGCAAAAACTAACTTTTGGGAGAAAACAATCTATAATCGTGGTATTTTGCCAGCCTTTACAATAACATTTACAATAAAATGGTTAATCTTTTTTTAAAGAAAAAAGTGAAAACTATAACACGGCTATCATCGACAAATTAACCATCTAAACTAAGAATTGTGAAATCTATGATAAACGGACCCTAGATGAAAACTTTGACTCTACTACTAGAAGACAAATTTTGCTACAGGACGCTGAAATTATATGGTTTTAACCCTAAGACAACGCAAAATACTAACTTTTTTTTGGGGGGACACTTCATAATCATGGTATTTTGCCAGTGGACACCGTGCTGACTAAATAATTTCCGATTGAAGAGGAGAGAGAAATCATGTGAAATGTCAGGAATGCCCTTAGACCTACATGGCAATGACTCGGCGTGAGAAGGAGCAGAGGAAGTGGTGGTCGGCAAGCTTGTCATCGGCGCCAGCGGTGAACGGGGTTTCGTGAGGTGCGGCCAAAAGAGGATTTGTAGAGTGGGGGTTTCGTGAGGTGCGGCCAAAGAGGATTTGTAGAGTGGAGGATTGCGAAGCTAATGGTGGTGGTCTCGTGTACAGTGATAACCGAAATCAGTGTCGGCGGTGAGCTTTGGCATGCTAGTGCATGGCGAACTCTAGCCCGTTTTAGTGCAAACCCGTGCATGCATATGTGGGTATATGGTGCTTGGATACTCACCCGCTGTAGTGCGCGGGCTGGCGAAGATTGGACAACATCGGCGACGGGAGAAATAGCTCCGGCGCCGGCGGAAATGACAGGACGATGTCGATATTTATATTTTAAAATGAAAAGAGTATGTTGTTTGCATCTTTCCTCCAACGTACTACTATTACAGGTTGATTAAATACATCTGCTTTAGTACAAAAATAAATTAAGAATAGGTGCAAGTCCGCCACGGCTAGCTGTTATAACATTGGCAAAGTAGCTAGGTAGGTATACGTACGTTTGGTGCGGAGCTTGCAGGTGTGTATTTCGTGGCTAGTTTCTACGACCTACTAGTAGTAATATATTTGTATTATGCGGTTGCATACGTACACGTAGTAACAAAATTAATCAGTTGTAACAGATGATGACTCACAGGGACAGCTAGCTTAGCTAGTCAGCCAATCAATCGGTCGTTCCATCTACACCCCCCACAGTCCAGAACTTACTACTAGGTGCGTTGCACACTGATGACTGGCTATGCGTGACACGCTACCCGAAATTTATTTTTTTAATTAACATAATTATCAAAATTAAGCTTAGCATGAGGCGCTACCAATGAAGAGAATTGATGAGAGAGGTGAGCACGGGTTTAGAGTTTTCTTGGTACCCCTCCCTCCTAACGTATAAGAAACTAGCATGGTGGCTCTCGCAGATTACGTGATTAGTATCATTATATTTTCTCGCATACAATAATATATATATATATATATATATATATATATATATATATATATATATATATATATATATTCTCAATTTATTATTAAAATATATTAAAATGACAACAAAATTTTAAATTTTGTACTAACTTTACGAAACTACTAATGTGAAATATTCATATTGTATTTTATATACATGTTAGTTATTAACTATTTGCAATATCAAATTTTAGTTATTTTTAAATTATATTCCTATATGGACTGTAGACTCGTCTTTCAATATTTTTTTAATTCCAAATTTTCATTGTCTGTAAATTGTATTTCTATATAGACTCTAGGATCTTCTTCCAATATTTATTTTCAATTCTGAATTTTTATTATGTCTAATTTTATTTCTATGTGGACTCTAAACTCATCTTTGAACATTCTTTATTTTTTAATTTTGAATTTCAGTTACTTTCTAAATTGTATTCCTATATTGGCTTTAGACTCTTCTTCCCATGTTTTTTTTTAATTTTGAATTTTAGTTATTTGTAAATTATATTTTTATATGGACTCTAAACTCTACTTTTAATTTTATTATGTTTATTCCGAATTTTAGTTAGTTTTAAATTCCTATATGAACTATATACTCTACTTCTGATATTCCTTATTTTTAATTTCGAATTTCTATTATTTCTTAATTGTATTTTTATATGGACTTTATACTCTTCTTCTCAAATTCTTTATTTTTTTAATTCCGAATTTCAGTCATTTCTAAATTGTATTTCTATATGGACTATAGTCTGCTCTTCCAATATTTTTTATTTTTAATTTCGAATTTCAACTATTTCTAAATTGTATTTTTATATGGACCCTGTTTTTCTTTTTTCCAATTAATATGAGAATTTCTAGGACGTGAGAGCGAACGTGGAGACTCATTTTTCTATTTCTTTAAGTTAATAGATTTTAGATAGATGTGACATATTCTAGCAAAATGAATCTGAACAGGGAGTCTATAATGAATCTGGACATTGTAATAGAATGTGTCACATCTACCCAAAATATGTTATATGTTGGGATGGAGTTAGTAGTTTTTATTTCCTGTTTTACACTTGCATTCGTATCATATTACTATATTTTTCTATTTCTATATTTTCTTAACTCTGCTTAAAGGAGTCGTAATGTAAGTGTTCTTTAAAATAAAACTAGTTCTATCAGTCTTTCAAAAAAAATTCTAAATTTGTATCTGTCTTTCTTAGCCCATAAACAAAATTTTAGAAAAAAATTTTGTTCGCGCTGAGCTGGCTAAATGGACGGACGTCAGATATTCTTCTTCCCATCCGACCGCGAACAAACGAACGGCCAAGGTATAAAGCTGGCGGCTGGCAATCAGCCAGCTGGCTGTACGTACGGCTGCGCGTGGGCCCGCAGTGGTCAGCGAGAGGGCGAAATCTCAGAATCGTCGTCGCCGTTGGTTGTCCCTCTACTCACTGACCCGTGGGGCCCACCTAAACCCTACATCGGCTAGCACAGTACTAGCACTGGACCAGAGAGAGAGAGAGAGGGGAGGACGCACGCAGATTAATTAGGGACAAAGGGAAGCTGGCTTAGGGACAAGAAATCTAGGACGGACCAAACGGATTATTAGTTGGAGGGCAGGCAATCAGGGTGGCCACGGTACAGCTCATCTAGTCCAGGGCCATCCCTTCCTACCTCTTCCGTTGCAACAGAAAAATTCCTTGGAGTAGAGAGAGAGAGAGCGGTTTCCAAAATATGAAATTGGATGCAATGGCCTTTTTGTTTACCGGCTAAGATATTTTTGCATCTTTGCTATAATATATATACAACCCCTTAAAAGTAGGTAGCACTGTAGTAGTATAGGTGTGCTGCTGACTGCTGTTAGAAAGAGTACGTACATCATCATCATTTGTAATTACCAAGGGTTTAGAGTTGGGTGAGATCGAGGTGGGAAGGAAGCGTGTATATGGCTAAGCTCCTTGCTTACCTACTTGATGTGGTTAGGAGAGCATGTACAATAAAAACAATAAGCGGTTTTTTATCGATGATAATATATATATTCGCATTGGTTCGTTGATGAGTTATTTGTATAGTATGAGAGAGAGTGTGTGTGAGATGGCAGCTAAGATAGTGGATTATACATGCGCTACAAGGTAAGTGAAGCGGTAGAAACTATCTCTCCACGGTTATAGGGCCCACGTGAATGTAGCAAGGCGCGTGATACATGCATGTTGCTATATATGTCTATGGCTATGGCGTGACTATGAGCTCGGTGTTGCCCCACTATACGAGGGTATTGTCTCATCGACCTTATTGGTGACAATCGCAATGTAGCGTTGAGGCTAAGCGCCAGTTACATCATGGAGATAGTGTCGAGGCATATGCTGGTGGTGAGAAATGCTAAAGTGCGTACCGTTGTGTGCCAGCGTAGAGAACAACTGTAAATGTAAGATGAGGCGAAGAAAGGAGCGATCAATGTATAAATAGCCAAATCTCTCAATAAATACATTGAAAAGGGTGGTAGAGTTAATTTGTTGTATGAGTTGGCTGTACAAACATCTTTAAGATAACATCGACAAAAAATACAGCTGGCAATCGACTGTACTATTAAAATTACAATAACTTGGTTTCACCATGCATAAATATTACATCAAAATAGAAGCATACCATGAAGTTGGAGACTCAACTCTCTTTTATAAAACCTAAAAGTTCCAATACCACTATGAAAAAAAAAATGATTGTATGTACCAATAATATGCATATACACTGCTTACTTGACATGCCTTGGCCTTTGCCCAACTTGTGTGTTGTTGCACCAAAGGTATGCTCCACAAAAGCACCTTCACAAATTATAATATAATTGATCGATAACTAAATTCGAAAAGTCATTACTTACTGCGAAAAATAACTATTAAGGTGCAATTTTCCAGGGACAAAAAAAATACATTTCCCGTGAAAAAAAATAGAGCGAAAATCTCTTATATTTTATTTCACTAACAAAAACAATCATTTACAGCTGGCGGGGCCCACCACCCCCAGGGCCTCCGGCGCCGGAACGGCAGCAATAAAAAGGAGACGTTGGAGAGAAGGCGAACGAACCAAATTTCCCAAATTCCCAGTAAACCCCCCGAGCGAAGCGAACGAACCAATTCTCCTCTCTTCCTCCGCACGGAACAGCGCCGCGCCGCGACTCGCCGCGAAGCCATGGCGGCGCGCGCTCGCCTCCGCCTCGTCCTGCCCCCGCTCGCGGCGCTGCTCCTCTTCGCGCACCTCGCCGCCGTCGCGGTGGCGCGGCCGCGGTGGGAGGAGGAGGGCAGCAACCTCCGCCTGCCGTCGGAGCGCGCCGTGGCGGCTGGCGCGGCGGCGGACGACGCTGCCGAGGCCGCCGAGGGCACCAGGTGGGCCGTCCTCATCGCCGGCTCCAACGGCTACTACAACTACCGCCACCAGGTGAGACTTTTGCTCGCCCGCAACCCCTCGAAAACCACGCTCCTCGCCGCGCGCGGCGGCACGTATGGTTTGGTTTGGTTTGATCCTTCGCGTGCGTGCGCTCTTCGTTGGTTTGGTTTGGTTGGTTTCGCGGGATTGGTTCCATCTCCTCCGATGCGCCCCAATCGCCGCTGAAGTAGAAATCCTGCGCCGTTTCGTGTTGCCGCAAATCCCAAACATCTGTTATAAATCTCTCGCTAATCTGATTTATGACGAGTGTAATCCACAATTAAGTTGAGATTACTGCGGCGAAGAGAGAATTCGTCGAGGAAATGCTACGTGCGCGGCTCATCCGGCGGATGGATTTTGGACATTTGCGTGTTCCTCCCTACTTTACCATGTTATTTTTTTTGTCAAAATGGGAAAAAAAATAATGGTGGGGGCGGGTGGGGGTTGATATTTACTCCAGCTGACTTCTGGGGGCCATGACTGTTGCGTCCGCTGCACGCGTTCGTGACCACTAACGTATAGCCCGTGCGACATCTGATATGTACGGTTCTTTGTTACTAGTGATAACCTCGCTAGATCAGTACGACGACGATAATTTCTCATTTATTGCACTATTTGAGGTTCATGGCCAATCTTGTTTCTGCATGATTTGAGTTTACTATTGCTGTAATTACTGGTAATTTACTGCTGGCAATAGCATGATGGTTCTTGAAATTGGGCATGGTTGATACTTGAGTAACATATGTCCTGTGTTTCTTGGGGTTTTGAAACTTGCAGGCGGATGTCTGCCATGCCTACCAGATCATGAAGAGGGGCGGGCTCAAGGACGAGAACATCATCGTCTTCATGTACGATGACATCGCGCACAACCCGGAGAATCCGAGGCCTGGTGTCATCATCAACCATCCCCAGGGTGGCGATGTCTATGCTGGGGTCCCGAAGGTAACCGTGCATGTTCATTCTTCAGGAGAATTATTGATGCTAGCTATAATTTCTTCGGTTACCTTTCTAAAGAAATGTTACAGTGTGACGATAAGATTTTGGCACCAAAGATTTCACTAGCAGCTAGTACATCATTGAAAAGGACAGAATGCCCAAATTTTCGTCCATCTTGACGTCTTTTGGCAACTTGTTGTGAATAAGAAAAGGCAGGATTGGTCCACCACAATTTGGAGGCAACAAGGAAAGAATATACTTAATTAACATAGGCTCAACTGTAACTAATGTCAACATCTCTCAGCTGAACCAACTCCCTCTTAGGAAAGACTAATGGACAAGTAACCCTTTCCATGGTTTTCCTTCCGTTTAACTTTATTATCATCTATTTTTCACTGTAGGATTACACTGGGAAGGAGGTTAATGTCAAAAACTTGTTTGCTGTTCTGCTCGGTAACAAAACTGCTGTCAAAGGTGGGAGTGGCAAAGTCCTGGACAGTGGCCCCAACGATCATATTTTCATTTTTTACAGTGACCATGGGGGTCCTGGTGTCCTTGGTGAGTACTTGCCTGCAATTATATGAAACCAATAGGATCAGATATCGCTATATTCATGCTTGTGAAACAAGAAATGGTCTTATTGTTTTGACTTTTTCCAAAATTTCAGGGATGCCAACCTATCCATACCTCTACGGTGATGATCTTGTAGATGTTCTGAAGAAGAAGCATGCTGCTGGGACGTACAAAAGCCTGGTATCAGATTAGTTATTTGGCTATTCTGCACTATATAATTGCTGCTGCTTGTAGTTGTAGAATTGATTTGATGAATCTGTTATCTCCTTTGCAGGTCTTTTACCTTGAAGCCTGTGAATCTGGAAGCATCTTTGAGGGTCTATTGCCAAATGGCATCAATGTTTATGCCACCACTGCATCAAACGCTGATGAGAGCAGCTGGGGAACATACTGCCCTGGGGAGTACCCGAGCCCACCTCCGGAGTACGACACATGCCTAGGGGACTTGTACAGCGTTGCTTGGATGGAAGACAGGTACTTCATTTCTGTTATCTCTATGTCTTTTCTACCATTATGGTATGATACAATCCTATCCTTATCCTACCAGTTTTCACTCATGTGGAACCAGTTTTGGCTGCACCCACATCACCTAGTACTTTCAGATTCTGTACGGATGCGTTTCTTTTGAAATGATTTTCTAATTAGTATGACACTACTTGGCTACCTGTTGTGTTAATTTAAGACACTAACGATATGCATGTGTTTGTTTACTCCTGTGTGCACATGCTGGGCACAATATGCTGATTTGCTTATGATGTTGCATAACATGTAGTGGGGTATGTTGTGAGCTTCTTTTTAAAGAATAGGAAAAGCATGTGACTGTTGCTGAATCCCTATCTGACTTATGAAAGCTAATAGAAATAACATGGAGCAAATATTAGAATCCACAGGCCACTCTGTGAGCTTGTCAGCTTGACCAGATGTTAATATCAGGTGTGGCGCACCTTAAAACTGTCCACACGTTCTACTGCTGAAGATTGACTGAGGTTTTTTTAGTAGAATGGAAGCAATGCTCCTACCTAGGCCTATTTGAAACTGTTGTCATGTAGGCTGTAGCCAAAATACAAGGATTTCACCTGTTTACCATGAATCTGATAGCCTTGGAAATTTGAGGCTTGATTTGTTTGTTCTGCTCCACTGTCTAATAGGAGTATGCCACCAGCTGTGCATACATTTGAGATGGATCCAGCCATGAAGACCATATGTTTTACATTAATTTTTGAAGTTCTATCCAAACAACTTCTTGTTTGAACCTTTAGCCGCTTCTTTCTATGCTAATATTTTGTTACTATGAACATTGACAGCGATGTCCACAACCTGAGAACTGAATCACTCAAGCAGCAGTACAATCTCGTAAGTATTTCAGACCTTAATTCCTTTGAACTCGCAGTCGTGTTACCATGTGCCTAATGTAGCTCAATGGCTGAGCAGGTCAAGGAAAGGACATCTGTGCAGCACACATATTACTCTGGGTCACATGTGATGGAATACGGTTCTTTAGAGCTGAATGCCCATCATGTGTTCATGTACATGGGTTCCAATCCGGCTAACGACAATGCTACATTTGTGGAAGATAACTCGTTGCCATCGTTCTCAAGGGCTGTTAATCAGCGGGATGCTGACCTGGTTTACTTCTGGCAGAAGGTCTGCATATCATGAGGAATCTACTGACCTTGATTGTTGTTGCAGTATGTGTTTTGTCATTTCCATGAATAAACCAGCTGATTGATTTCCTTTTATACTGTGTGCAGTACCGCAAATTGCCTGAGAGTTCTCCTGAGAAAAACGAAGCTCGGAAGCAATTGCTTGAAATGATGGCACACAGATCTCATGTTGACAACAGTGTTGAGCTGATCGGAAACCTTCTCTTTGGCTCTGAGGAAGGCCCAAGGGTTCTAAAGGCTGTTCGTGCAACTGGCGAACCTCTTGTTGATGACTGGAGTTGTCTCAAGTCTATGGTAAGCCTTTATTTGACTTTCGGCTTGTCATATAAACTGTTCAGTTTCACGTTTTGGATGCTCTAGACAGTTGCTTCAGTTTCATACCTATTTCAGCTCTTAACTAGTGAATATATAGGTGCTATCTCGCATTTTCAGCAGTTAGTATGTGATAATCTATTTTGTACCAGCACACCTAATATGGGTCTGCATTTTCTTCAGGTACGCACTTTCGAAGCACAATGCGGCTCGCTAGCGCAGTATGGAATGAAGCATATGCGTTCCTTTGCAAACATCTGCAATGCTGGCATCTCTGCTGAAGCGATGGCAAAGGTTGCTGCGCAGGCTTGCACCAGCATTCCCTCCAACCCCTGGAGTTCCACCCATAGGGGTTTTAGTGCTTAAATCATAGGTGAAGAAAACTTAGCAAATATTCTCAGCTCCTGCAATATACCCAAGTTATCTTTTTCTCTTGCCCCTGTAGTTTGATGATCGATTGGGGGCAGTAGTGCTTGAACCGTAGGTGAAGTCTGAAGAACTGTGCATTATTTCAGATGCTCCACCATCCCAAATCATCTAAATTGTTCTCGTTCTCTGGTGTACATACCATAGCAGGAAAATTGATATGGCAATATTACCTGCCATCATTGCTGTACATACTTATAGCTTGCTATATGTAGTTTGTAGCTACATATATAATATGATAAATGCATTGCTGCTATTTTACATGATGCGTGAGGTTCTATCATCTTCCGTTTTATACCCTGTTCATGTTCAGAGTCCAGATATTCAGTGTAGCTAGTGATCTGTTGGACTTGGACGTAAACCGCGAGATTCCAACAATCAGAAACTGCACATATCAATTTGTCGCGTTCTTTTGATGTAACTGCTTTTTTTTTTCTTTTGGGCCTTTCTAGTTGTAAAGTGGAGTAATGTGTAAACAAACATTAGATGCTAGCAAAATGGAATTTTTCAGCGAACAATTATAGTACTTTTATTTCCGGATAGTAGCAAAATGGATCTTATTCCTATATGACGGAGCGTGGGGCTCCTCACCGGGAGACCGCGCAGGCCCCCCTTTGCCGGTTCGGCCGGGGGCTCTGGGTGAGGTTCTAAGCTCTCGGTGAGTGGAAAGTTCACGAGAATGGAAGAAGCACAAGACACGGGCGATGTATACAGGTTCGGGCCGCTGAGAAGCGTAATACCCTACTCCTGTGTTTTGGTGGATCTGTGTATGAAGAAGCTACAAAGAGCTGGAGAGCCAGAGAGCTCTTACTCTAGAAACCCTCTTCTCCCTTTTTTCCTCTCCTGGGATCTACTCTCCAGATCCTTTTCTCTTTCAGTCCTCCCCAGAGTCGTCCCCAGAGTCGTCCCCCTTTCTAAGTGGGCAAGGTCCTCCTTTTATATCTCAAGGGGATACCACATGCACCATCTCTCTCTTTTGTGTGGGGACTTATCCTATCTTTTCTCCAACTTGACTTGCCTTCTCTTCATAAATGGACGGAGATTTGTATGGTTGCCGTCCGAATGACCTTCTGATGGGACGGCCCATACCTACCTCCACTTCCGCCGGAAGCAGGTGCGACGTGGGAACATGGCTGTCTGCTGACGACATGACCAGCGTCAGACCGGTCACAAATCGGTCATTCTTGTCCACCACGTGTCAGTTTAGCAATCTGCATGTTCGCCCTTCTTCATACAATATCTTGCTTGTAATGGTTAGGATGAAGCCTGGCATATATCTGACCGGGTCCAACGTGCCACCTCCAGGAGCTAACACGCCGGCTCCGGCTAGGGACGAGTGCTTGGAGGCTCTCATCCTGACGGGATGGGGCGAGGCGTGCGTCAGACCGCCTGTCGCCACCTAACCCACGATCTGATCGGTCTGTGACTGGTCACAGGCCGGATAAACGAGCGCGCTGCACTGCGTTACATGTGGCGTGACGCGCTCGTCCAAACCGCAATAAATGCGGTTAGGTGAGCCCCGCTGCGCTCACCTAACCCATACACGCGGCGCAAAACCCACAAGGGGTCGGGGCGCCTCAGCCCTCGGGGCCGAAACGGGAGCGGTCCGACCCCTCGAGGAGACGAAGAGGGGGGCGGCCACATCACCCTCGGGCCCGACCCCCCCGAGGGGGTCAGGCCTCGTGGGTGATTGCTCCTGCCCAAGCCTCTAGTCATGATACTCCCGGTCCCATGTCACCGACACTATAGGAATTTTTCCTATATAGCCATTTGAATCAAAGGAATGGATCTTAAGGAATCCTATGAAATTCTCTTAGAATGCCTAATACCATATAAGTCTTGGAGGAATTCTAACCTGAGGTAGAACCTCATGGAAATTTTCCTTTGAGTCTTTATCTCTTCTCTAATTCCTACGTTTTTCCTGTGGTCCAATCAAACGGTCGTTCCTGTGTTTTTTCTATGTTTTGCAATTCTCTGTTTTACACTTATATTCATATCAAAATCCTGCAATTTTTCCTACTCCTACATTTTCTCAATCCTGTAATTCAAATGGGCCCTTATTTGGAAACTTGAGAACTTAGAGCCACCTAATGCTTATTTCCCTCTAAAATGCCCACAGATTGCCCCATTCTATAGAAATTTGTAGAGACCGGTCCTTTACTCCAAAGGGCTCTAATAGAAATTTTCCCATACGAATACAAAACCTCATAATTTATTTCACTTTTCTTTTGTTCCAAAGGAGAGGCCTTACTATTAGAAAATGAACCAACAAAAATTGTTCCTCAATAACTTCCATAGATCTGAATAGTGGGTGTGACTGTTTAGATGCTTCTTCTAGGAAAACTTTCAGTATTTAGGATGGTATGACACCTGGAGAAACGTCTCCTGGCTCCTGCATAACTCTGCTTCTGAAAAAACAGGGCAATCTGCCGAGAGAAGTTGCCATTGCCACACTGCAGAACAGAGTTGTTGAACAAACCAGAATATTTGCCCTGTTTCTTCAGAGCATGAAAAAAAAAAAACAAGAAACACAGCTGCCACTGTCAGATTAATGTAAGCTTGTACAAATGCATTAATTCAACTGAAATTTGGTCATGGTTAGCACCTTACGAGTACCAACAACCAAGCCATTATATACAGCAGTGTCTGCCAATCAAACAGAGAATCAGGTTTTGTTTATCCATTTATTTGCTTTGTTTCCTTTGGCAGGGCAAAGCAAAGACAGTACCATACCAGTACAACCAAAGTGTATGTCGGCCACAGTAATGCTTCTTTAATCTTTGGACTTTGGAGAGCACATGCAATGCGATATTGCAATTCAGACAGCAAAGCGGCTGGCTCCATCCAGATATACATTTTTTAAAAAAAAGGACCCATCTGTATATATAAAAAACTGCATTTTCAAAGAAGATGATATATGCATTGTGGGATCCCAACAAACAACAGAGACATCCACAGAATGTTTTGTGAATTTTAGACTCTTGTAATCTATACAGAGCACTGACTACTAAGGCTGTGTTTAGTTGAGGGAAAAGTTTGGATTTTGGTTGAAATTGAAGATGATGTGATTGAAAAGTTGTATGTGTATGATAGGTTGATGTGATGGAAAAGGACTGAAGTTTGGATCCAAATTTTGGATCTAAACACAGCCTAAGCACAAGATTTTCTAAGGTAGCTACTGGTGCCAGTAGAGTAGAGTAGTTGAAGGACAATTTTATTTGTCTATATTTTGTTGAGCCCATCAAGGCCATCATGTTGCATCCGAAAAGATCTTGCAGAAGCTTCTTTGTCTTTGCGGTTACATCTGATTATTATTATACATTATAAGCTTAATCATCCAAAGCATAATGATAATGTGACAGTCTGACAAACACGTATAGTCTGAAAGGTCTGCGATAGTTTAGTTTTAATTTTCGGCTGGAAAGCCGCAATGAGACTTATCATTGCGTAGATATATTAGTAAATATTTCAGTGACATGTATAAGTCCATACCAAACGACGACGTAACGTACGTGACAGTCTCTCTCTCTCCTGACGGCGACTAAGGGTGTGTTTGAGGGGAAGAGGATTGAGGAGATTGGGAAGATACGCAAAACGAGGTGAGCCATTAGCTCATGATTAATTAAGTATTAACTATTTTAAATTTCAAAAATGGATTAATATGATTTTTTTAAAGCAACTTTCCTATAGAAATTTTTTGCAAAAAACGCACCGTTTAGTAGTTTGAAAAACGTGCGCGCGGAAGACGAGACTCAATCTCCCCAAACACCCTGGAACGAACAGAGCCAAGTATCAAAAGAAAATCCACAGCCAATTTGCCTTCACTAAATAATACAGGTTCAATTTGCCTTCACTAAATAATACTACATTACTACTTCATTTCATAACATGTGACTATGTGTATTGTCAGTATGCATACCTAGGAAGTAGGAAATACAAAACTATAGTGATGTTTGATAGAAATTGGATCAAATTCAACGCCATTTTGATAGGTTACAATTACATCCGTCTGATAAAAAACAGCCATAATCCAATTCGAAAGAATTGCTACGCGAACCTGACAGAGGAAGAGTCTTCTTATTTAGCATGAGACTGATTCGTTGGGGATGCATTCACACATCCTCTTCAACGGAATGAAAAGCAATCAAACCTTGAAACGGAAGGATCACACATGTGGTGGTAGAATAGACCCAAAAGGCCCACGCAAATTAGGCTTGAAACACAAGGAGAAAATCTCAAAAATCATGTGTTCCAAGAAACCGAAACGTCCATCGCTGCAGAGCTAGGCATGCAAAAGTTTTGAGAGTGTATTATTGGCACAAGTAATTAACAAATTATTAGACTTGACTTGCACATATGATGATTATTAGGTGAGGACCATGGGGGGTGAGTTTGTGTGGCTGGATTAGGTTTGACAGCTATTGTGACATGAAAGGTGCAACTACCCCCCCCCCCCCCCCCCTGCTTGTAGTATCATGTACTATGGCTCTGCATATCATACCTGTTATAGGTTTAGTGCAGATGAGCTCAAACTCTTGTTCCATCTTGAGAGGAATCCCCTACCTTCCAAGATTACTAACCTAACAAGTAACAACAAGCTCCATGTTGGAATGTTGCACAGCTGTTCAATTGTACTTGGGTGTGGTTTTTGCTCGACCGTATCATCAATTTGTCACCAACCATTTGCTACTATACTACTCGCACTAGATGAAAATTTTCACATATGATTGCCTGACCAAATTAAGGTGCATGGTACACCTATTAGTATTACACATCTGCAAAAAAAAGGGGGGTTAAATTAGTGAGGGGTAAATGTCACCATCCTACACCTTTTCTCTCTCTCCCCTTCTCTGTGTTCAATGGCAGACAGGTAGACAGCAACAGTCCATAGAAATCGCGATCGCAAATGCAGTACCACGCTAGACGTCGCTTTCCTCTCGGCAAAATTCAAAGAGCTTAAGAGATGTTTTTGTGTAGCTGTGCGTGTGACTTTATTGTGTTGTGTTGTATAATTGTGTGGCTTGCGAATGAGCCACACGTCGTCAGGGGGGGGGGGGGGGGGGGGGGCAGCATGTGCTCTCAGCTTCAGCTCGCTTCGGCGAACGGTTCGATTTTCTCATGCTGCTGTTGAACCGATCGACCATACACGCGCGCTCCTGCCTTTTGTTCTCTTCTTTTTTTTTTTCATCGCATCGCACATATTCTTCGTCCAGCGGCAGCGCGCCATCTGTGAACGGAATGAGCAAAATAATCGCATGAGAACTGA